TACATCCCAGAGTTCTTCCTAGAATCATCTGTTGCCTGGCACCACTGGTCCTCTTTGGGAAGAACCAGGGAAAGGAGAAGACGTTACAATGACCTCACTGTACCAGCAAGTGGACTTCTGCAAAAAGGCATGTGTAGGTTTATTCTAAGATGGCGGGGGGGGGGGGGATTTAAATGCTAAACCTGCAACCTTGTCTCTTGCCAGTTGTTTAATTTTGGTGAAATATTACCAATTTGGCTAATGAGTTGATTATTTAAATGCTTCCAGTAAAAAGTGAAAAATAAGATCTGTCAAAAAAGAGCTAAGCTCTCATTTCTGCATCCAACCACTCTGCTTGGGCATTTGAATATACTGAGAGCAGTGACATATGATTGTCACAGGGTATCTTAGACATATAGGCTGTAATTGACAGTCTGGCTTCACCTTCTGAAAACCAAGTGAGGCATTAATGGGATCTCTGGATATAGACTAGAAAAAAACTTTGTTCACTGATCCACTAGTGAGCTTTTTAATAAGTTTAGTTGTACAAATGTGGCCAGAGTTTCTATAAACATTGGCAAAGGAAATTGTTGCACAACATATTCTTCTAAAGAGTTAATATTTAAAATGAGTTTTGTCATACCATGTCAGTGTGGGTTTTTAGATTCGCTTTATCTTGTATTGTTATTGTTATTACTACTATATAGGAGACTCTCAGTTCCCCCTGTGAGTCCACTGTGGAGATCCAGCAAATCTGAAAACCCACTACATTGTTCAGCGGTGCTTGTAAAGTCTCTTTGGAGTTTCTCCGGTATTGAGACTAGTGTTCCTGGCAGATGAAGGTAATTTCCATGGTGTAGCCTGCTTTAGGCAAAAATGGTTTTCATCTTAAGGATGGAGCTAATGAATACTAAAGTTTTCTACCATGTGTTGTTATTATCACACAGGAAGCTTTCAGCTTTGCTTATAAGCCAGCTGTGGGCATATGATCTATTCTGAGAAGCTTACTTTAGGCGTTTTGCCATGAAGTGGATATAGGTGTAAAGGTGGGTATTGGATACATCTCCATTAATATAATGGTTGGTTTTAAATGATATATTTATCATTTAGGAGGAAATTGTTTTGCAGTATGAGGAGTATACGAATAAAGGCCGGTATAAGTCCACCAGTACAGGGTCTCTATACCATTCACTTAGCATATTTGGAGTTACCTATTTTTGGGGGTAAATTTTCATTCATAGGTCTTGATTTATTTATTTATTTCAGGTACTTATATAGCGCTGTCAATTTGCGCAGCGCTTTACACATATATACTGTACATTCACATCAGTCCCTAACCCTCAAGGGGTGTACAATCTAAGGTCCCTAACTTGCAACATTTATGTATATATTTATGGGTACATTAAACCCTTTGGGTTTCCGGGGGGTACTGCTCCTCTTCTCCTTTTTGTTCTCTCTTATCCTTCCCGATCCACTTACAATATGATGCTCTATTATGCCAGAATGTAAAAATATGAGTTTTTTTTTTTTTTTGATTGTTTGTATTTGCTCTTATATCAGTAGTCAAATGTCTATATGGTGATGGCTCCTGAGGAATAGTTTGCCTAAAGGGATATAATACACAGAGTGTCAACATCCCTAACGAATACAAGGGGAGGAAAAGTCCTCTTTTTGGTGGGACTTTAAGGGCAAATTTCAACAATTCAAAAGAGATTTTTTTTATAAAAATAATATGAAATTTTATTTTTACAATCTTCAAAAATAAACATAAAGCTACAATACATATTGCGGTGGTGTCATCAGAGATGGTATTGCAAATCTAATCATGGATCATGCATGGTTTGCACTTGATGCGTTTCAAGATCAACAAAAAATCTCTTCCTCAGAATTGCTCAAGAAGGCATGACGCATGATTCCATGTGAGGTAAAAACTGCCAGGAAATTTAAGAACACATTTTTATATGAACACAGCCACGGATTTCTCATATATATCTCAGGCAAAAATTATGAAACAAAAAATTAATAAAGAAAAAACTGAGACCAGTGGATGATAAATGCCGCCTAAACGTATCCTGAAGGGGCCCCACCCAAATGCACTGTCAACAAGATTACCTGTTGGCGTATTGATAGGGCAGTGTGAGTGTGGAGCGTTGACCACAAGGAATTTTGTGTGAGAAAGTGTTGATGACCTGATAAAAATCAGGATTGAAATGTGAAGGACAGCCCGCTATGGGGCAATATACCAGGTCTATCCGACAAGGCACGCTTGATGGCTGTGATCTCGAAACGCGTCAAGTGCGAACCATGCATGATCCATGATTAGATTTGAAATACCATCTTTGATTACACAGCCACAATATGTGTTGTAGCTTTATGTTTATTTTTGAAGATTGTAAAAATAAAATGTCATATTTTTTTTAAAAAAAAATCTATTTTGAATTGTTGAAATTTACCATATAAGTAAATTGTTTCGTTAAAGTCCTACCAAAAAAGATGACTTTTCCCCCCTTGTTTTTAGGATTATGTTGTGCATCAAAAGTTCCCATTTTTAGGTCTTTTTGTGGTATATATTTACAATATTAGAGATGTGGCGCTTAAACACAGATTGTAATATCAATTACCCTAAAAACAAAGATGCTTGTTCCTTAACTGTTTAGTGCAACCCTAAGATTATCATTCTAATATAGATTGTTTATCCTTCAGTAGGCCAGTCAAAAGCTGCACTGGTATAAAAAATAGATATGCACATAAATAGTTCTTGTAAATTACTTACTAGGATGTGTTTGTCTTGGTTTTGGTTTCGGCTTCATTTTTCCAGGCCTAAAAGGACCTGAAATAGACTATATTTTAAACAGGCATTCTTACATCACATTTGGCTATATATATATATATATATATATATATATATGCAACAAGTACAACTCTAGAATGGACTATACCAGGTGGCTTAATTTTTAACTTCATATTTTAACAAGTTGTGGACGTTGGGCATACCACATATGCCCTGGCAAACCTCATCTAATCTCCTCTCTCACAACTCAACAACAGTGGCTGCATTTACCTGCAAATTCTGGCTGTCATTTTGACAGCCTGGAGTTGTTTCTAACACCCATTTTGTAATACTTCTGTGTAAATTGCCCATTAAAGAATAACTTTTTTTTTAATAATTGTATTCCCCCTCCTATATTAAAAACATTTTGACAACTTCTAAATACCCTCTCCACATTCTAGCTCTGTTTCAGTTTCTGCTGTTGTCGAGGGCCACCGGTCCAGTACCTGTGAGCCCAACTTGTTGTTTACATGCCCGCTAGGGGTGCATCTTCATACATGCTGGGCTAACAATACTCCTGGACTGAGCAATGCTCACACATTATTACATAAGTGCCACTCAGTCTTGAAATGATGCCTGCCCCCTGCTGCCCCCAAAAAGGAAGCTACACGATGTAACCAAAACAGCAAAAAGACTGCTGTAAAAAGGTTTAAGTTTATTTTTTAAAGATGGGGACTTTGGGAAGGTGGGTATCAGGGGAAGGGGGAGGCATTTAAGGGGGAAATACTGCATGCTGAAGTTCTGCTAAAAATGTCTATATCTGTTTATTAAGTGAATGCTTGTAGTAAAAAGTGAAACTTTGTAACTCTTTAAAGTGAACCTTTTCATTCACCAATCATGTAAACACAGCAATACTTTTTATAATCCACTCCATCAACTAATGTGCAAAGTTAGAATTAAGACCTGTCAATAATCAACAGCTAAGCTCTCATTTCCACTGATATGTGTCAAGAGTAGTGATACGTGACTTTCACAGGAACAGCAGAGCTGTCTTCATCATATGGATGGTAAGTTTAATGGTTCAAATTTGGCCACAGTTTCTGAAAACATTGGCAAAGGAAACATTTTCTTTAAAGACCACATCTTATAAGAGTTACCATTCAAAATAAGCTTTCTCTTACCTCTATTAATCTTTTTGCCAACACCTGTAAATGACAAAAGAAAAAGATGTTTGCTTCCTTACTGATTGATTTAGGCAAGCTCAGATTATCAATCATAAATATTTTATCCTTAAGGGCCCTTTCACACTGATGTGCTTTTTCTGCGCTCTTGTGTAGCTTAGGGCCCTTTGACACTGATGTACATCTGAGCGAGCGCCTTCCTCCTCTTGAACCATGCTAGGCCACATGCCCTCAGCATGGATGGGTGCTTTGGGGGGTTCCCCCCAAAGCACCTTGTCCCATGTTGATGGGGACATGGGCCTCTTCTCCACAACCCTGGCCTGTGGTTGCGGGGGTCTGCGGGCAGGGGGCTTATCAGAATCTGGAAGCCCCCTTTAGCAAGGGGGCCCCCAGATCCTGCCCCCCCAAGTGAATGAGTATGGGGTACATGGTACCGCTATCCATTCACAAGGAGGTGTGGCCACACATGTGATATCACTCGGTGGCCCCGCCCCTTACATATTTAAGAACTGTCAAGCCAGCGGAGCAGCCAGGAGCCAGTGTCGGGAGCGGAGCCTTTTTTTTTCCGGGAAGTGGCATTGGCGGACATCATGATTGATGCTGGATCTACTTTGGGGGGCATTCTTTTATTTTTCTTCTTTTCATAAAGGACTTGTCAAAGACTGTCTCCTGTCTTTTTTCACACTACACTTTTTTTTGTGAATGGGTAGTGGTACCATGGAATTTATGTATTTTTTCCGACAAATAGAGCTTTCTTTTGGTGGTACTTGACCACCTCTGCATTGTTTTAATTTTTTGCTCTATAAACAAAAAAAGGCTGAAAATTTTGTGAAAAAAAAAATATATTTTTGACATTATGTTTTAAAACATATTCAGTAAATAGATTTAAAAAAAACAAATTTCATCATAAATTGAGGCCAAAATGTATTCTGCTACATGTCTTTGCTAAAAAAAAAAGTGCCAATACATGTAAAATTAATTGGTTTACGTGAAAGTTATAGCATTTACAAATGGCGATATATATAATGGAATTTTTATTTTTTTATACTAGTAATGGCGGCATCAGTGACTTATAGTGGGACTGCGGCGGGCATTCTGACACTGTGGGAACCTGCTAACAGCCACTGACATCGCAATAACACTAATACAGTGATCAGTGCTAATAAAAAGCTTACATTGCACTAATGACACTGGGCAGGAAGGGGTTAACTGATTCCCTGCCGCCTTACAGCAGAAATACTGCTACAGGGCGGCAGGGCTGTGTTAAAATAACGTATATGTACGTGATTTGCCATCTCTGGGTAGGGGGCGCATGTGCGTGCCGCCCTACCCGCACAGCCATTGGTGGCTACAGATGTCAATCACCAGTTCCTGGCCGGAGATTCCCCGCCAGCACCCAGCGATCGCTGAGAAACAGTGACAGGGGAGAGACCTGTGTGTAAACAACACAGGTCTCTCTCCTGACAGCAGTAACATGCTGCTGTGTATTTCTCTGCACAGCAAAGAAATACACAGCAGTATGTTTCCCTAGTAAAACACACACAGCACACACAGTAAAACAGCACACAGTTAACCTTTTGAGTGCCTCAGATGTTAAAGAGCACATCTTATAAAGAGTTGCCATTCAAAATAAGCTTTCTCTTACCTTTATGTATCTTTTTAACAACACCTGTAAATGACAAAAGAAAAAGATGTTTGCTCCCTTACTCATTGATTTAGGAAAGCTCAGATTATCAATCAATTATAAATATTTTGGCCTTAGGGGCCCTTCACACTGATGTGCTTTTTCTGCTCTTTTGTGTAGCTTAGGGCCCTTTGACACTGATGTACATCTGGTTCCTTTTGATGTGTTCCCATTGACTTACTATAGAAGGTGCCATTTTTGCGCGCTTTTGAAAAACTGCAACAAAGAAGCAGCATGCAGGATTTTTCAAAATGCAACACACCTGCAGTGTGAACAGTTATGAAGGATTTAATGGGGAATAGTTTTCATGTGCGATCTCACCCTGGGAAAAGCGCAGCAAAATCACATCAGTGTAAAAGGGGCCTTAGGTTGCCCCCCAAATTTTAGTCAAAGTAGCATTGTTAAAAGTAGAGACATACAGTACCAGTAAAACGTTTTGAAATACATACCTGCTACAGTTAGCTTTGGTTTTACCATTGGGTTTTTCTTTTTCTTTCCAAACATAACAGGACCTGAAAACAGTTTACATATTTTTATAATAATCATCTTAAATTTATTTTGAAAAACTAGCGCAACAAAAAACTCAAGCATTAGCATCCGTTATTAATGACATTGCTACAGTTCTACAGAATGGCTCATGGATCATGTGGATGTCTCACTCACTGTAAATATTGGATTTTAAGTACTTGTTTTCTTCTGTGTTCTTATAACATACAAATGGACTCATATAATATCATATCACAACTTTTTGTGAGGGACAAGGACCAAGAGAAAAAATGAAGCCCTTTTCATACTTTTTTTATTAGAATGCACATCAGGGGCCACCAACCCAGGGGCAGACTGAAAACTCATGCGGCCCCCGGGCAATAAGAGATAATGCGGCCCCCTGTGTCTCCGCCTGCACTCAAGCCAAAGCCACATCCACGCAACACCCAACCTACATATTGCAGCTCAGCTGCATAGAAAGATCATTAAAAATAATTTTAAAAATAATAAAACAACATCGTGGAGTCCCCCCTCCATTCATACTAAGCCCTTCGGGTCTGGTATGGGTTTTGAGGGGAACCCCCATGCCAAAATTTAAAAAAAAGTCCCTCCCAAGATCCACACCAGACCCTTATCCAAGCATGCAGCCCAGCAGGTCAGGAAAAGGGGGGGGGGGGGAAAACGAGCGAGCACCTCCCTCCTCTTGAACCATACTAGGCCCCATGCCCTCAGCATGGGTGGGTGCTTTGGGGGTTCCCCCCAAAGCACCTTGTCCCCATGTTGATTGGGACAAGGGCCTCTTCCCCACAACCTTGGCCTGTGCTTGCGGGGGTCTGCGGGCAGGGGGCTTATCAGAATCTGGAAGCCCCCTTTAGCAAGGGGGGCCCCAGATCCTGGCCCCCCTAAGTGAATGAGTATGGGGTACATGATACCGCTATCCATTCACAAGGAGGTGTGGCCACACATGTGATGTCACTCAGTGGCCCCGCCCCTTACATATATAAGAACTGTCAAGCCAGCGGAGCAGTCAGACGGCCAGGAGCCAGCGTCGGGAGCGGAGCCTTTTTTCTCCGGGTAGTGGCGTTGGCGGACATCATGATTGATGCTGGATCTACTTTGGGGGGCATTCTTTTATTTTTTCTTCTTTTAATAAAGGACTTGTCAAAGACTGTCTCCTGTCTTTTTTCACACTACACTTTTTTTTTTGAATGGGTAGTGGTACCATGGAATTTATGTACTTTTTACGACAAATAGAGCTTTCTTTTGGTGGTATTTGACCACCTTTGCATTGTTTTAATTTTTTGCTCTATAAACAAAAAAAGGCAAAAAATTTTGTAAAAAAAAAACAATATTTTTGACATTATGTTTTAAAAACATATCCAGTAAATAGATTTAAGAAAAACAATTTCATCATAAATTTAGGCCAAAATGTATTCTGCTACATGTCTTTGCTAAAAAAAAAGTGCCAATACATGTAAATTAATTGGTTTACGTGAAAGTTATAGCATTTACAAATGGCGATATATATAATGGGATTTTAATTTTTTTATACTAGTAATGGCGGTGATCAGTGACTTATAGTGGGACTGCGGCGGGCATTCTGACACTGTGGGGAACCTGCTAACTGCCACTGACATCGCAATAACACTAATACAATGATCAGTGCTAATAAAAAGAGCTTACATTGCACTATTGACACTGGGCAGGAAGGGGTTAACCGATTCCCTGCCGCCTTACAGCAGAAATACTGCTACAGGGTGGCAGGGCTGTGCAAAATAACGTATATATATACGTGATTTGCATCTCTGGGTAGAGGGCACATGTGCGTGCCACCCTACCTGCACCGCCATTGGTGGCTACAGATGTCGATCACCGGATCCTGGCCGGAGATTCCCCGCCGGCACCCAGCGATCGCTGAGAAACAGTGACAGGGGAGAGACCTGTGTGTAAACAACACAGGTCTCTCTCCTGACAGCAGTAACATGCTGCTGTGTATTTCTCTGCACAGCAAAGAAATACACAGCAGTATGTTTCCCTAGTAAAACACACACAGCACACACAGTAAAACAGCACACAGTTAACCTTTTGAGTGCCCCAGATGTTAAAGAGCACATCTTATAAAGAGTTGCCATTCAAAATAAGCTTTCTCTTACCTTTATGTATCTTTTTAACAACAGCTGTAAATGACAAAAGAAAAAGATGTTTGCTCCCTTACTCATTGATTTAGGCAAGCTCAGATTATCAATCAATTATAAATATTTTGGCCTTAGGGCCCTTCACACTGATGTACTTTTTCTGCTCTTTTGTGTAGCTTAGGGCCCTTTGACACTGATGTACATCTGGTTCCTTTTGATGTGTTCCCATTGACTTACTATGGAAGGTGCCATTTTTGTGCGCTTTTGAAAAACTGCAACAAAGAAGCAGCATGCATGATTTTTCAAAATACAACAAATCTGCAGTGTGAACAGTTAGGAGGGATTTAATGGGGAATAGTTTTCATGTGCGATGTCGCCCTGGAAAAGCGCAGCAAAATCACATCAGTGTAAAAGGGGCCTTAGGTTGCCCCTAAATTTTAGTCAAAGCAGCATTTGTAAAAGTAGAGACATGCAGTACCAGTAAAAACGTTTTGAATACATACCTGCTACAGTTAGCTTTGGTTTTTCCATTGGGTTTTCCTTTTTCAGCTCAGCTGCATAGAAAGATCATTAAAAATAATTTTAAAAATAATAAAACAATGTAGTGGGGTCCCCCCTCCATTCATACTAAGCCCTTCGGGTCTGGTATGGGTTTTGAGGGGCACCCCCATGCCAAAATTTAAAAAAAAGGCCCTCCCAAGATCTATTCCAGACCCTTATCCGAGCATGCAGCCCGGCAGGTCAGGAAAAGAGGGGGGACAAGTGAGCACCCCCCCTTGAACCATACTGGGCCACACGCCCTCAACATGGGGGGTGCTTTGCGGGGTTCCCCCCAAAGCACCTTGTCCCCATGTTGATGGGACAAGAACCTCTTTCCCACAAACCCTGGCCTGTGGTTGTGGGGGTCTGCAGGCAGGGGGCTTATCAGAATCTGGAAGCCCTCTTTAGCAAGGGGGCCCCCAGATCCTGGCCCCCCTCATGTGAATGAGTATGCGGTATATGGTAGCACTAGCCATTCACAAGGAGGTGTGGCCACACGTGATGTCACTCGGTGGCCCCGCCCCTTACATATATAGGAACTGTCAAGCCAGCAGAGCAGTCAGATGGCCAGGAGCCAGCGTCAGGAGCGGAGCCTTTTTTTTTTCCGTGTAGTGGCATTGGCGGACATCATGATTGATGCTGGATCTACTTTGGGGGCATTCTTTTATTTTTCTTCTTTTAATAAAGGACTTGTCAAAGACTGTCTCCTGTCTTTTTTCACACTACACTTTTTTTTTGTGAATGGGTAGTGGTACCATGGAATTTATGTATTTTTTCCGACAAATAGAGCTTTCTTTTGGTGGTATTTGACCACCTTTGCGTTGTTTTAATTTTTTGCTCTATAAACAAAAAAAGGCTGAAAATTTTGTAAAAAAAACAATATTTTTGACATTATGTTTTAAAACATATCCAGTAAATAGATTTAAAAAAAACAATTTCATCATAAATTTAGGCCAAAATGTATTCTGCTACATGTCTTTGCTAAAAAAAAGTGCCAATACATGTAAATTAATTGGTTTACATGAAAGTTATAGCATTTACAAATGGAGATATATATAATGGGATTTAAAAATTTTTTATACTAGTAATGGCAGCGATCAGTGACTTATAGCGGGACTGCGGCGGGCATTCTGACACTGTGGGGAACCTGCTAACTGCCACTGACATCCCAATAACACTAATACAGTGATCAGAGCTAATAAAAAGAGCTTACATTGCACTAATGACACTGGGCAGGAAGGGGTTAACCGATTCCCTGCTGCCTTACAGCAGAAATACTGCTACAGGGTGGCAGGGCTGTGCAAAATAACGTATATATACGTGATTTGCATCTCTGGGTAGGGGGCGCATGTGCGTGCCACCCTACCCGCACCGCCATTGGTGGCTACAGAAGTCGATCACCGGATCCTGGCCAGAGATTCCCCGCCGGCACCCAGCGATCGCTGAGAAACAGTGACAGGGGAGAGACCTGTGTGTAAACAACACAGGTATCTCTCCTGACAGCAGTAACATGCTGCTGTGTATTTTTCTGTGCACAGCAAAGAAATACACAGCAGTATGTTTCCTAGTAAAACACACACAGCACACACAGTAAAACAGCACACAGTTAACCTTTTGAGTGCCCCAGATGTTAAAGAGCACATCTTATAAAGAGTTGCCATTCAAAATAAGCTTTCTCTTACCTTTATGTATCTTTTTAACAACAGCTGTAAATGACAAAAGAAAAAGATGTTTGCTCCCTTACTCATTGATTTAGGCAAGCTCAGATTATCAATCAATTATAAATATTTTTGCCTTAGGGGCCTTCACACTGATGTGCTTTTTCTGCTCTTTTGTGTAGCTTAGGGCCCTTTGACACTGATGTACATCTGGTTCCTTTTGATGTGTTCCCATTGACTTACTATGGAAGGTGCCATTTTTGTGCGCTTTTGAAAAACTGCAACAAAGAAGCAGCATGCAGGATTTTTCAAAATGCAACAAATCTGCAGTGTGAACAGTTAGGAGGGATTTAATGGGGAATAGTTTTCATGTGCGATGTCGCCCTGGAAAAGAGCAGCAAAATCACATCAGTGTAAAAGGGGGCCTTAGGTTGCCCCCTAAATTTTAATCAAAGCAGCATTTGTAAAAGTAGAGACATGCAGTACCAGTAAAAACGTTTTGAATACATACCTGCTACAGTTAGCTTTGGTTTTACCATTGGGTTTTCCTTTTTGTTTTCAGACATAACAGGACCTGAAACAGTTTACATATTTTATAATAATCATCTTAAATTTATTTTGAAAACTAGAGCAGCAAAAAACTAAAGCATTAGCATCCGTTATTAATGACATTGCTACAGTTCTACAGAATGGCTCATGGATCATGTGGATGTCTCTCTCACTGTAAATATTGGATTTTAACCAATACACGCCCGGCCATTAGCCAAAAGGCGGCCGGAAAAATGTATCGGATTTCCGGGTTGGATGCCAAATGGCGTCCTCCAGCACATGCGCACTTTTTGCGCTTGCAGAGCCGCGCAGCGGCGCGACCTGTCACCGGCCATGTACCTCGGACACGGCCGATGACAGATCTGAGTATCAGCCCCATTGCCGGTAACCATGTGACCTGCTGTGACCAAAAAAAGTAATAAAAAATTAAAAATAATTTTAAAAAATATATATTTTTTTTCATACTGTCACCAGTCAGTGTCCCTGATCACCGCCATGCCAGTTATATGATGACGCTGTACTGCACTGGTGACAGTATATAAAAAAAAATAGTGAAAATAGTTTTTTGCATTTTTTCATTTTCCGAAAAATTATGACAAAAAAAAATACAACTTCAAAAAAACTCGCCATGCCTCTTATGAAGTACGTCGGACTGTCTACTCTGCAAAAAGGGGTCATTTGGGGGATATCTGTACTGTTCAGACATTCTTGGACCTCAAGAAATTAGATTGGCCGTCAGTACTTCAGGATTGATCAATATTCAGATCTGTACCATAGTTTGTGAACTCTATAACTTTCCTACAAACTAAATAATACATCCTAATTTGGGTTATTTTCACCAAAGACATGTAGCAGAACACATCTTGGCCTAAATTTTATGAAGAACAATTATTTATTTGCAAACTTTTATAACAGAAACAAAGCTCCCCTTTAGAAAAATGTGGGGTTTTTTTCAAAATTTTCGGTCTTTTTTTGATAATTTAGCAAAAAAGTAAAATCCCCGGTGGTGATTAAATACCACCAAAAGAAAGCTCTAGTTGTGTGAAGAAAATGATAAAATTTTAGTTTGGGTACAATGTTGTATGACCCGCGCAATTGTCATTCAAAATTCTGAGAGCGCTGAAACCTGAAAACTGGCCTGGGCAGGAAGGTGTAAAATTGCCCGGTATTCAAATGGTTAAGTACTTGTTTTCTTCTGTGTTCTTATAACATACAAATGGACTCATATAATATCATATCACAACTTTTTGTGAGGGGCAAGGACCAAGAGAAAAAAATGAGGACCTTATCATACTTTTTTTTATTAGAATGCACATCAGGGGCCACACCAACCCAGGGGCAGACTGAAAAACTCATGCGGCCCCGGGCAATAAGAGTTAATGGGAACCCCTGTGCCTCCGCCACTGCACTCAAGCCAAAGCCACATCCACACAACCCCCCACCTACATATTGCAGCTCAGCTGCATAGAAAGATCATTAAAAATAATTTCTTCAAATAATAAAACAATGTTGTGGGGTCCCCCCTCCATTCATACTAAGCCCTTCGGGTCTGGTATGGGTTTTGAGGGGAACCCCCATGCCAAAATTTAAAAAAAAAAGTCCCTTCCAAGATCCATACCAGACCTTATCCAAGCATGCAGCCCAGCAGGTCAGGAAAAAGGGGGGGGGGGGGGCGAGCGCCTCCCTCCCTCCTCTTGAACCATACTACGCCACATGCCCTCAGCATGGGGGGGGTGCTTTGGGGGTTCCCCAGATCCTGGCCCCCCCAAGTGAATGAATATGGGGTACATGGTACCGCTACCCATTCACAAGGAGGTGTGGCCACGCGTGATGTCACTCGGTGGCCCCGCCCCTTACATATATAAGAACTGTCAAGCCAGCAGAGCAGTCAGACGGCCAGGAGCCAGCGTCGGGAGCGGAGCCTTTTTTTTTTCTGGGTAGTGGCATTGGCGGACATCATGATTTATTTTTCTTATTTTAATAAAGGACTTATCAAAGACTGTCTCCTGTCTTTTTTCACAC